ATTTTGTTTTGCAGTAATTCTCCTGGTGAAGAGCATCAAGTTATAAATTTGTCGATGAAATCCTTAGAAACTACGTATATGTTATTAAATACATGTAATAATTTAAACTTCAAGTTAAAGTCAAATAAATACATATATATGTACATTAATCAATATTTATAAATAAATGTCATGTATACCTATCCTAAAAACAAAACCGTATGTGTTGGACTTGCAACTGATTTAGATACACAAACAATACTTATATATGCATTTACTTACATATGTATGTCTGCACATACAAATCAAATTAATACATAAATAGCGTATATTCCTTGAGGTGTGTGTCTTACTTTAGTCTTATCCTGGCTATAATCAAATAATACGGAAGAACAAGTTCGGAGGAACGTACTGTTTACTCAATCCTGTAATCAAGCTTAAAATTAGATAGCAGTAAATGTTTCAAGTCGTTATTATGTATCAGGAAACCGGTGAATGAGTACAAACTTTCGTAATTTGGTAGTCTGAAAATTTTCTCAAATTACTTCTTAAACATTGAGGGTATTCATAATCCTTAGTGTTTTCCATGTAGGTACATAAATAAGTTACCACGGTTGCGAGATTTCCTAAGAGGCATAGGATTTTGCCATCAAGAACCACGTTAGTTAGATTACGAGTTTTACGAAGTTGGACCCCTTTTTTCTTCCTAAACTATTTTACGAACCTAAGGGCACTAAAGATAATTGTGAATACCCTCATTGTAAGTACATAGCCTGTCTGTTATGAAATTACACATATTACAAAAATTCTACGTCCCAGACATTAAAGTTGTTTAAAAATCTATATTATAAGCGAGAATGTCTGTTGGCAACGGAAGTTTGTCCGTCCTAAAATTCTGTTCGTGACGGAAGTGAAAGTAGAGAAAGTCTAGGCGTAGCCTTATCTAGGCGTGGTGGTTATCTGGGGGTGTTGGTTATCTGGAGGTGTTGGTTATCTGTGGGTGTTGGTTATCTGTGGGTGTTGGTTATCTGTGGGTGTTGGTTATCTGGAGGTGTTGTTTATCTTGGGGGTGTTGGTTATCTGGGGGTGGTTATCTGGGGGTAGTGGTTATCTGGGTAAGCCCCCAATACCTCGATATCCGAATATCCAGGTATCTCAATATTCTTGATATTCCTGATATTCTTAATATTCTTGATATTCCTGATATTCTTAATATTCTTGATATTCTTAATATTCTTGGTATTAATGATATTCTTGATATTCCAAATATCCATAATATCCATAATATTCTTGATATTCAGAATATCAAAATATCGAGAATATCAGAATATCAAGAATATCAGAATATCAAGCATATCAGGAATATCAAGCATATCATGAATATCAGGAATACCAAGAATAGCAGGAATATCAAGAATATCAGGAATATCAAGAATATCAGGAATATCAAGAATATCAGGACATCAGGAATATCAAGAATATCAAGAACATCAGGAATATTAAGAATATTAAGAATATCAGGAATGTCAGGAATATCAAGAATATCAAGAATATCAGGAATATCAGAAATATCAAGAACATTAGGAGTATTAGGAATATCAGGAATATCAAGAATATCAGGAATATCAAGAATATCAGGAATATTAGCAATGTCAAGAATATAAGGAATATCAAGAATATCAGGAATATCAAGAATATCAAGAATATCTATATTATAAGCGAGAATGTCAGTTGGTAACGGAAGTGAAAGTAAATCTGTCCGTCCTAAAGTTCTGTTCGTGACGGAAGTGAAAGTAGGGAAAGTCTTGAGCGTGGCCTTATGATTATCTCGTGGTGTTGGTGATCTGGGGGTGTTAGTTATCTGGTACTGTTGGTTATTTGGGGGTGTTGGTTATGTAGGGGTAGTTATCTGAGTTAGGTAAGCCCCTAATACCTCGATATTCTAATATCCCGGTATCTCAATATTCTTGATATTCCTGATATTCTTAATATTCTTGATATTCTTAATATTCTTGGTATTCCTGATATTCTTAAAATTCTTGGTATTCCTGATATTCTTAATATTCTTGATATTCGTAATATTCTTGGTATTCCTGATATTCTCAATATTCTTAATATTCCTGATATTCTTGATATTCCTGATATTCTTAATATTCTTGATACTCTTGATGTTCAGAATATCAAGAATACCAGGAATGTCAAGAATATTCGGAATATCAGGAATACCAAGAATATTCAGAATATCAGGAATATCAAGAATATCAGGAATTTCAGGAATATTCAGAAATCAGGAATATCAAGAATAAGAATATTCAGAATGTCAGGGATTCAGGAATATCAAGAATATTCAGAATGGTTATATATACGAGAATATTGTGATTATTAAGACTATCGAGTTCGATAATATCAAGTGTAGAGGATATAGAGAATGTCGTAAGTCATGGGAAATTTTTGTATACTATCGACGTTTTCGATTTACTCGACCGAGACTATTAAGAATAATCAAAATATTTGGAATATTAGGAATAATCTTAATATTCTGAATCTCCACGTATATTATGTTGGCAACTGAGGTTAAACTAAATTTGTCTGTGACACGATTTTTTTTCTTTGACAAGAATTTTTCCGTTGTACAAGTGAATGTGGGAAAATAAAGTTTCTATTGGCCCCTAAATTCAAAATAAATTGGGTTCAAAACACTAAATTTGGAGATGGGGCGTGTCAAAGTTTTGTATGCTGGTTGTACATAACGGCCTGGTAAGTTTACTAGGCGCGTTTTTTGGTGCCTTTTGTGGGCAGGTATGTTTACTGGGCAGAAGTGTTTACTGGGCTGGAGCGCTTACTGGGCTGATGCGTTTGCTGGGCTGGTGCGTTTACTGGACTGATGCGTTTACTGGACTGATGCGTTTACTTGGCTGGTGCGTTTACTGGAATGATGCGTTTACTTGGCTGGTGCGTTTACTTGGCTGGTGCGTTTATTGGGCTGGTGCGCTTACTGGGCTTTGCGTTTACTGGGCTATGCGTTTATTGGGCCGGTGTGTTTATTGGGCTGGTACTGTAACTAGGACAGTATAAGAGTTTGCTTAAACGATTACCACCACCAATCAGCACCATCATGAATATTTCTAGATGTGTGATAATTTCGCAAATTATCTTAATTTAATTTACTTTGTTAACCTTACTCCGTTGCGGACAGACATTCGAGGTGTTAAATTTATCGCCCGACGGAAGTCGGGCTTATACGCTAGTGCTGGGATAATTGGAAATACTTGGAAAGTTTATACATATGCATGACAATTTATCGGGATTAAAGTTTATTTTCGTCGTTAAAAATAGTCCAAATCATGGAAAGAAATATCTAAGCACAGAATTCTAAGGATGTGACGCACGAAAAGCATATATATTTATCTACATACATCTATAGCCGGATGGGTCAAATTAAATGAAGAAATTTTCTTCGACGAAAATATTTTCCGCGTGGGAAGCGTGATTTCAATCGGAGGTGAATATCTTTAGATCAACGCCACAAGTATGTACTTTGCTGTACAAGGAATATGTTCCCAATAGTCCCTGTTTTCCAAGATACATATACACTTTTATTTTTTCATGCATATGCACATAAGTGCTCGGAATCTGTGCGAATGAACACATACAGTATTTAACGTACTTTGTTGTAGGGCCTTCTAATGCAGACATTTAGACGAATTTCTATATAGATAACACACATAATATTAGCTATAAAACCTCTGAAAAACTATTACTGCGTGGTATTGACCGTTATTATACGAGGGCTCCTCAATAAATACCCAGAATCTATTTTTTCTTAACAACCAGAAAAACTTATTAAAGGGTGAATTCCTATCTTTTCATTTATCTGCCTGTTCGTTTGTATCCACGATAATATTCGAACGGATTTTAATTTCTACATGCAATCTGTGAAGTGTTTCTAATTTAAAATTAGAATTAGTAATTTTTGAGAGGAGTAAAGCGCATGGGAGTTGTAGTACTTGTGGGGCACACACCTCCTCAGCGCAATTAGGGGGTGGTCATGAAGTTTTAGGAATTGAATTTTGGTTTTTGACTTGTTACGAAGTCTGTACTTGTGGGCAAATTGTAGGAGAATTGACCGACTGATTACCATGATTTTTGTACACAAGGTACTTAGCATAGTGATACATAATATAATGTTATCCCGTTACTCCATTTCCTTCGGATAGATTCTGGATACCTATTGGAGGGCCCTCGTATAAAGAAATATCCAATTTGTCGAAAGATAATTAACGGTTGCCGGTATGAAAAGTTTTGAGCATAATGCATGCATGTATGTATTTATGTAAGTATGTACATACGTGTATTTTACCATTCTTGCATATTTTAGCACATGCTTCCATACCTATTTAAATGTTCTGATTGTGCAACTAGTATCGAATTTCTCGTTTTGCTTTCCACAAGTTATAGGACAATGATATGAAGTAGTAGCTGGTCATTCTTCAAGGTCCACAAAATCAGTCATTATTTTCAAAATAATGAAGCATAAATTACACGTTCAAACAAGTTCTTTACAATGGTTGCTCTTCTATTGAAATTTTTTAAAACTTATCTTAAGTAGGACAAGGTTTAGTTAGGGATAAACTCCCACATAATTTTCATTCTGCCTAACTCCGAGTTTTCAGAATTTTACAAAAATGTACAAAACAACAAACCACAATTCTCTAATCTGTACAGTACAATCTATCGGAAAACATGACACGGAAACTTTCAGAATCCCTGACATTTCAAATTACCCCCCTCAAACTGACTACTCCCACTGCAACCCGTTACTCTCCATATTCAACGTGGGTTATTACTGTTGTCTGTATCCGTTCAAATTCCGAAAGTCTAATACTTTGTATCCTAATTCATCCCCGGTTTATATTCGTAGTACAAACAAATGTCAAAAAGTTGGCTGTTTTTTGGTCAGCGTGGTTTTAGTTTGGTGGATCCTGCTTCGATTAAGGGATTTGGGTGGGTATAATCTCGGTATGGATGTGGCGTCCTATTTTAAAGCGGCACAAAGAGTATTTTCCACTCTGTATTACCTACTTTGCGTCATAGCGCCCTGGTTTAATGGAAACAAAATCTCCAGGATTCTTAAACTCTTGGTGGATTCGGCAGATTTGCAGATATTTCAGTACCACTGTTGGGTAAGGATAATTATAATTAACATTATTTGTGTACATGTATACTGAGATGTACACATGTGTTTATACATCTATGCAGGTTTTAATTAGGTTCCATGATAGCCATGTACAACAACACTTTCGTTAGAAACTATCCATTTTCAAGGCTTATCCTTAGCGTTAATATAATGCATATATGTACATATTGAATATATACATACATATATACATGAACGCTGCATGCAATTAATTATGTTTATCTGGGTACTTAGGTACTACACTTACACAGTGGTAAATTGGATCTAACAAGTTTAAACTGTAATAAAAGTAAAATCTTCAAAAAAATCGAAATGTGAAGGATCTCATAAAATAACTGAATGACAACCAGCTTAAGCCAGATTAAACAAAAGTATTGCAATTTTATACATGCATAACAACATTTCTACATTAATGAGAAACTATATTTTTTGAATTGACTACTTATGCAGTAATTTGCCATCTTATTATTAAAACCATGCAATACAAATTGCATGGTTGATATATGTATGAATTAAATATGAGGGTTAATTACTAACACTAAATCGAAAATTTCTGCACAACCACAACGCAATAAATAAAACTCTTACATTTTGTACTCATTTGTGACTTTCAGCTCAAATCCAAACTGTTTTGCTATACCGTTTTGGCCAGCTACCTCATCTTCGTGCCTAGCTTCATCATTCTTGAAAGTACAGAAGGTAACTCATCATGGGAAGTTATTCTCGGGGGACACGTTGCTTCGGCGAGATATGCCTTCTTCCTCTCCAACAATAAGTCCACGATTCCATCCGGAAATGAAATATCGCACGTTGACCTGCTAATTTCCTCCATTTTATTTATCGCTGCTGCCCTTTTTGAACTGCTAGGTTTCTTCTCAGACGGATTGATCATCATGATGTGCATCACCCTATGGATCCCTGCCAACGGGTTGGCCAGGCTGGTCAGAAAGTGTAAAGATTATGAAAATGAGATCCCCAAAGAGACAGAAATCATAATGGAAAGTTATCAAGTTGTGCGGACCCTGTCGAAAGCGATAAATGAAGCCATGAACTTAATTGTTTTCTTTTTCGTGATGATCATTTTGCTCTATTACTCAGTAAATTTGGGGAAAATCGTGGTCATGGAGGATTGGTCGGAAAGGTTTATGTACATAGTGCAATTTTTCCATAATGCGCCCGTGTTTTGGATAGCGGGAGATATCTGCTATAAGGTTAGTATAGTAGAACTATTGTGGCGGGTCCCCTCATTTGCATAGGTCTCACTATGCCCATTTTCAGAGATTCGGGCTTTTAATATTGAGTAAACTATATATGTTTCTCACTAATGCGTTAAAATATGCAAATAAGGTGACTAGTCGGAAAAATTACTTAAATTTTAATCGCGTGGAAACATATTTTCTTATTTACGACATTTACACAAGTTATGCAAGTATTTTAGAAAAATTTAATACATTATTTTCAAATTAAAAGGTGGGACGTTTAGTGGACTATTTTTGGGGAAAGACTTGTTCAATTCCGACCTCAACATTGTCATCATGTCACTGTCGGGACAATAAACACTCGACCAGGGACACGACAATTATTAGCCAACAACGCCTAACCCTATTACTGTACCAACTAAAATCGCATTCGGTTGGAATAAGTGCTCATTTCTTTTACCTGCATTATGGAGCAGTTTTTAGCGTGAGTATAATTTTGCTGATTTAAATATAATTAAAATAAATTACTTAAAAACCTAAAAATGTCACATTTAAAATTACAGATACTTGGAACAATAGTGACATATTTTGTAATTTGTGCAAAAATGGTGGAGGACGTGAAATAAGGGGGTCTGGTATACCTTGAGTATTTAGTACTTACACATGTACTTATTTATTTTTGATACAATCTATGAGTTCATCTTGTTATTTTTCTAAATTATGACAAGTACGGGTACGTAGAAATGCATATTGATAGCTAAATAACACTATCTATTATGTAATCAACATTGTTCAAATTAAATGTAAACATTTTATCATTGTCAGATTGTATTCGTAAATGCAATATATGATGCGAAATTTATGTTTGTATAGTGGATAATTTCCATGAAAAAATAAATGTCACAGCATCAACTAAGTTGCAATGGTTTACAGAATCATTTAGTCAAGCAAATAGTGTACGACAAATATGCAAATAAGCCTCCATTTGGAATGAAACTATCGATTCGTCGCAACTCACAAACCATTTGGAGGGACAATGGAATCTGAGTCTGGATACTGAACAATGTCATTTGAAATAATTTGAATATGTATTCCTTCATATTATTTGGAAAAAAATAAATCCCTGACAAAAGTATGTGTTCAATGTTGTCTTGATCTTACTTCAAGTTCAAACAAAATCCGTGAGCTGATTTCTATAATAGTTTTCACATCCTGGTAATACATTGTCACCAAGTTCCTTACGTCCTTGACTATGCAAATATATTCACGTATGAGATATTTAATATTGCAGGATATCGTCTTCATTCGTATGAATGCAATAATTACCAGACAATAATGACATTGAAGTAAATAAAATCACATTATATGTTACTTTCCTAATGTGCAGCTGCTACTTTATGCGAATGAGAAATACTACGTAATGATCCTGACCTGCATGCATAAATCTATGCAAATGCAAAACATCAAAAATCATGGGATATTTATTTACCACCTGCAGAGTATATAAATATCTCGAAATTAGATAATCCAATTACGTAACCATGGCATCTTTCCTCCTCACGAGCGTAACCGTCCTGCTCCTTTCCACCACCCCAGGGGGCCGGGGTTCCTCGTATCACAAAATTTCCCCCCAACTATCAAAATCTCTCACAAAACAGGAATACACTGCCAACGTTTTCGTCACCTTTTCTCAAGGCACGGAATCCGTTCTGGCGACAATTTCCGCAAAATCGTTTCCCTCACGGTCCGCCAGACTCGACCAGGTTCACGATTCGCTAGTGTCGCACGCAGCCTCCACCCAGGACGACACGATTCAGCTTCTCGCCCAAGAAGGGCATCCCTACAAATCAATCTGGATCACAAACCAACTCTACGTTCCGGACGCGACGATGGATCTCGTCATTAAGCTGGCTTCCAGTCCGGATGTCGCGTACGTATCGCAAGAAGAGGTAATCCCGCTGCACCAACCCGTGTATAGGGGTCCGGTACGGAAACGGGGTAAAGTGAGACCTTCTGGAGAGTGGGGCATTATGAAAATTAAGGCGAACGAGGCGCGTAGTCTTTTGAAAAGTTTGGGGCAAAATGTATCCATTGTAGTTTCATCGATCGACACTGGCGTCCGGGGTACGCATGAGGCGCTCAGTTCAAACTGGCGGGATGATGGGTACGGGTGGTATGATCCGTACGATAAGAGCGCCCTCCCAAGAGATAAGGATGGTCATGGGACTCATACAATGGGGACGATTTGTGGCAGTGGGGGAATCGGGGTTTACCCAGAGGCGAAGTGGATGGCTTGTCGCGGTTGCAAGGGAGGCTGTACGCAGTTCGCGCTACTCTCCTGCGCACAGTGGATTGCATGTCCGACGATGGCCAACGGGACGAAGAGGGATTGTTCAAAGGCGCCCCATGTGGTTTCGAACAGTTGGGGTGGGGGTGGGGGAAGAAATTGGTGATTGAAATATTCAGACATGTCATCGATTTTGGCGGGCTATGAATTTTTAGCGGCAAATTTTAAACTAAAATTGTATTCCCTATAAACAGGTTTGATCGAGCAATTGGGGTGTGGCATGCGGCGAAAATTATACCCCTTTTCTCCAACGGAAATGAAGGCACAGCCTGCAATACTACCGGATCTCCGGCCGACAGCAAAAATAACGTCATCTCGGTAGGATCGACTACGGTAGATGACGCGTTATCCTTCTTTTCCTCCGTTGGGCCTACTTTTGACGGGCGGATGAAGCCAGACGTTTCCGCGCCAGGGTCAAACGTCTTATCGGCCTCGCACAAAGGAGACAGCGAATATCAACCAATGTCTGGAACCAGTATGGCATGCCCACACACGGCTGGCGTCGCTGCGATACTTCTCGCTGGAAGCAAGCAGGAGATGGAATATGACAGAGTGTTACAACTGTTGGCGGATGGAGCGGACACGAAAAGTTTACTGTCGGGGGGACGTGGCTGTGTGGGAGTGACGGATAAAGTGTTTCCGAACCATCAGTTTGGCCATGGCAGGGTCAATGCGTTTAATTCTCTGACGAAACTGATCAAAGAGAGTGAATGAATATATTTGTATCGTTTTAGCGTAATTATTTAGCATGACGGTTAGGTTTATAATAATAACCCACGACAGTAATAGGTTTCCCATGATGTAAAGAAGTTAAAAATTGATTAAAAATTGAGAAAACTTTTGAATTGTAAAAATGCAGTAAATAAATATGAAAGATATCTATGTATCTTAAGGAGTCGTGTCACATGTGTAACTTCAGTGAATAAATTCACAAAATGTAAGAAAATGTGTGGCCTCTTTCCGTAAATGTACATATCTAACTACTTATTTATCATACACTCATCTCAACGCATTTTCCTTATGTTTCCTACTTGGGAAGCGACGTGAAAGTCTCGTTTAATAACTTATTTACTAATGAGAGAGAGATATAATTTTGTATGAAACAGACGTAAATTTGGTATAGGCGTTACACCGATTTCGTGAGAATTACATACTTCACTGGATACTGCACTACACATGTATCCATATCCTTGTTGTAAATAATGTGAACTACTTTTTAACGGAAAATTACTTAATGTATGCATTAGTATGTATGCTTTGTCAATGTCAAATAAAATTTGTACTAAGCTGGTGCTCTTTTCGACGCGATTTGGCATTTATGATTTTTAAGATTAAATTTTACACCGAAATTTGTCCCGTGCCCTCAGGGGTGTAGTATTAGGTACTAATAGGAAAACAGCTTCACAAAATATTGCGTATGTAATTGAATGTATTCTTTAATCAGCATCAGTTATATTTTGGTAGTAAAGCATTCAACATATTTATTATAATATTAAATTTATCAACCAGAATCGTAAATATTGTTAGTTTTGTAGTTCAACGCTAAATTAAAGAAATGGCAGTAACGATAAGAAACGGTTTCAAAAGATATGGAAATGGCGGGCTTGTTCTTAAAGATTTTGATATGACTGTAGGCATTGGGGAAATGTACGTATGTATTTACATAAATGTAGGTTGTGAATCATTTAATGAGTTTAATTGATTTTCAACCTATAGTTACGGATTGCTGGGTTCCAGTGGATGCGGGCAAGTACCACTTCTCTTTAACCCTTAACTTTCTTTCCAAATTTTGTTTTAAGCAGTTCAAGCATTTGGTTTGCCACCAGGCATGTACATAAGCAATCAACTAATTAATATATTATTTACTAATCAGAAAAACGACCGTACTGTCCTGCATTGTTGGATTGCGTCAACTTGATTCTGGCAGCGTTGCGGTGTTTAATCAACCCTGTCCCAACAATCAAGTTCGTCTTTGGGGGTACATGCCCCAGGCAAGTGACCATACATGTCGAAACGAAAAGAAAAACATTTTATATTTCACATCGATTAAACGGTAGGAAGTTGCTCTTTTGGATTCACTAAGTGTTGAGGAAACATTGAAATATTTCGGAATGCTTTATGCCATGGACAAAATACAAATAAATGAACGAATCAATTTTCTTACTACATTTCTTGAATTGCCAATAATCAATCAACCAATTAACGAACTAAGGTGAGAAAACTTTCTTGTGTAATTTTATTTTATGTTAAAACAATACTGAGGGGATTCATTAGTCCTTCGTATTCTTATTTAGTATCGTAGAATAGTTTACGACGGAAAAACAAGGGGTCAAGCTTCGTAAAACTCGTAACCCTAGTAACGCGATTTTTGACATCAAAATCTACAGATCTGTAACGCTTGCAAAATCTCTTAATCGTCGTAAGGTATTGTACGATACGAGGGAGACAATGGCATAATGAATTCCTTCAATGCTAGCTAACAAATTATATCTGATCATTAAGTGGTGGTCAAAAGAGGAGGGTGTCCTTGGCGGCGGCGATGATACACAACCCGAAACTGCTCGTGCTCGACGGTAATAATTTGAGCTTATAATTAAGATTGTGATAACTTACTGATGACCCGATTTTAGAACCTAGCGTTGGGCTGGATCCTCTTTTACGACAGAGGTACAAAATTTATGTGTATAAATTATCGATAAACGATACTTTGAATGCTTCATTGCAAATTTGCGTTCTTTCTCGTACCAGCATTTGGAAATATCTACACGTAATTTGTAGCAAATTTGGAACCAGTATAATCATCTCGACACATTATGCTGAAGAGATAAGGCTTTGTCATAAGGTTGGTTCAATTTGAAAACCAGAGATACTTGTATGCAAAAAGTGCCAATTATGAAACAGATAGGCTTGATGAGAGGAGGTCGTCTTGGGGCAGGGGGCAAGCCAAATGAACTACTCTTAGCACACGAATCCCTAACAATGCAGGAATTGGTTTTCAAGCTTTGTGAGCATGACCAAAAGTCAATTAAAGGTTTTGGAAATCTTTATAAGAAAAATGATGTTATGAAGGTATTCATTATTTTTTCGTATCGAAAATACTATCGTAAAATAAATTACGACGATTGCTAGATTCTTGTTGGCGTCGTAAGATTTGTTATAAAAAATTGTGCCATTGCTCCTCAGCCAATATCATAAAATATTCCGAAAAAATCTGAAAGGTTTCCCGGCACATTATTTTATATTATTTTCCAGAAATCAAATAACGTCTCAGAAATTTTTTAGGGAATTGAGACTATTAATATTGGCTGAACAGTAAGCTTACGATTTTTACGAAGCTCACAAGGGAAGGTCCCCGACTGCTTATCGTGTCCAGGGTACCCACTATGTTTTTTAGAATCTACTAGGACCCCAGATGAAGGATTCATTCATATTTCCGTGTAAACTCATATTTGGCGTCCTGCCGTGGCGGCAAATCCTCCAAATTTGAATGTTTTTATTTTTGAAACCGCCATAAGTTTTGAAATCCTAGATGGATTTTAAAAATTTTTGGCAAAAATCATGACAAGGAGTTCAACTTTCGTATTCCATGAAATTTTTTCCAAAATTATCGATTTTATCTTTTCGCAAAATTTCGAAATTTTCTTAGAAATGGGGGTTCGTCGAAAAAATGCGAAAAATATCTCAAAAATTAGAAATTTTGTACTTTTATTTTTTTCTCAAAAATTTCGACTTTTGCGATCATTTTAAGCATAAAAATTTGAAAATCCGACATAAACTGCAAAAGTTAAGAGGGTTTGAAATTGGTCGAAAATGCAAATTTATGAGTTTGGCGCCACGCCATGGCGCCAAATATGAGTTTTACACGGAAATATGAATGAATCCTTCATTTGGGGTCCTAGTAGATTCTAAAAAACATAGTGGGTACCCTGGACACGACAAGCAGTCGGGGACCTTCCCTTGTCAGTCGACTGTTTTTTCCTTAAACTATTTTAAGATACTAATTGCATGTAAGTATACGAAGACAGTTATGAATGTCCTCTTTAACAACTTAGCAAAACCAGGAAATTGTATCGGAACCTTTACCAATCGTACGAGAATCTGTCAGCAATGGTCGGGACAATGGGTCAATAATCTTGGCACTCATGTTCAAATGGTTCCATCGGCATCGCAGGGATTTAAGATAAGTTTATATTTCCTTGGAGCATTAATATATTTTAACGTTGTTTGTTTCCTTATGTCCGGTTTTGTAATGAACAGGTTGCACATGTTTCAACTCTGTATTCCGATGATGTGCATGATCATATTTCAAAATGTGATGGGTCCCCAACCAAAATTTGTAAAAATGGGAGTAGTTCATAATTCAAATTTCACCAGTCTAGAAAAATACTGTAGAGCAAATAGCGCACACAGTTTCCTGCATGAATGTTTCTCGAACATTGGGATTTGCAATTTTGTGGATAAATTTAATAAGGATGAATTCATTTGGGTTAGAAATAGATTTCCCAGCTTGATAAAAATTGTGTGAGGTTACATCTCATAATTATGTCAAAGGTTCCTGTAAATTCTTACGAGGAGGGACAAATACAAATCCAGCAGGGCGAAACCACAGGACTCATCGAATTTCCGGAAAACTATGTCACGCACTTCAAAAACCGTATGGCTTTTGGAAATTTTGTAGATAATGGGACAATTCTTGGATCCACGATTTCAATTCGATTGGATGAAGCGAGTAAGTTAGACAATAATATGTATTTACGATATTGGTGTAAATTACCATTTTTATTTTGAATGTTAGACCTAGTGCTCGCAATCTGGCTGAAGAAAACCATTATGGACAAGTATCTTGCTTACGTGGGAAACGCGTTGGCTGCTTGCTCACTGAATAGTCACATTAGCCAACCACCACTTCTCGTAAGTAGATATGTCACTTAACATCAAAGTATTTACATTATTTTTAGGGCTGAGATTCTCTGCTGTGTACATATGAACAAAATTTGCATATGTAACTATCTGTGTAAAGTACATATTCATGTAATTTATAAGTTACACCCATGGGTATGCTCTTTCAGTTTCATCCCGTCTACGGTTCCACTGATGTTTTTGACTACATTACATTCATGCAGTCAGGTTATATAATTTTGTACGTCATGCACATCAATTTTCTAACCAATAATAATTTCTACAGTCAACAATAATTGCAACATGATTTATAATTCATACATACTTTAGGATCATCTTTTTCATATCAATGGGAATCACACATATTCGCGTGGAGGATCAAGTTGCTGGGCTTGAGGATAGAGACTACATTTGTGGGGTGTACTTGTGGCATCAATTAATTGCTGCTTTTGCCACGCAAAGCCTGATGACTTTAATTCAAATTGGATCATTTTTGGGAATAATGTGCGGATTATATGGAATGGTGATGAACGGTTCATGGTTGACGCTGGTGGGATTGATGTTCATGTCGTCATTTGCTGGACTATCCGTGGGTATGTATATCCAAATCAATTAATTAATTTACGCAGGTCTTGGTAACAACTTAAAATCTATAAATTCTGTCAAGTTCAAAATTTTTTCAAAAGTTTTTTGTAAATTTACAATGCAAAGACACCAGCGGTGTCGCTACAATTTTGACAAAACAAAGATAATTATGTATGTGGCCTCAGTAAACGATGGAAATATCTCATAAACTTGGCAGAGCAGAGGATGTTTCCATTCGAATTTATAAGGCGTTGCGATGCGACAAAGAAACGGATTTATCCGTTGTCTAATAATTCGGCATAGTTATGTATGAAGGTAAAGAAAGATCATTTCTTCCGTTCGTTCACGGTGTACGGAAATCTGCCGCCCCTCAAGTGCAGCCCGATGGATTTGCAGCCCATTTTCTGCCCCCTTGATTATCTGCAGCCCACCAATTTGCAGCCTATTAACTGCAGCCCGCGATTATTTGCAGCCCTTATTATTTGCAGCCCACCTCACAAAACGCATAATTCCACCACACAAGAAGGATGATATATGTACATCATATACAAAGGTTCATTTGTTAGATTGAATTATATTTATCTATTTCCCAGAAATAGATAAAAAACATAAAAAAGGTTCTTTCCAACCTTTTTTATCTTTCCACCTTTGTATGACTTGATGCAGTCAACTAGTCTTTTTTGTCAGTTAAAGTAGAGCTCCCAGCCGACATATTTTCGGCGGCGGCGGCTTACTTTTGGCACAACACCGGCGGCGGCGGCGCGCCGGCGTGCGCCGACCAAACTACGGCGGCGGCGTTTAAAATTTTATTTATTTATTTTCTAAATGGTTTAAATAGCGATGAAGGTCCCCTCTCAAATTTTGAAATTTGATATACCAAATTGTTCAGTTTTTCATGTTGATCTCGAATATATAACTTTTTTTGTGGGGCTGACGCATATTAAGGTCAAAAATTAAGGTCAAAGTTCAAAACTTGACCCTCACTTTTTATGAATTTTTACACGTTTCAGAGGATTTTAAGACTTTTCTCAACTTGCCCCAAAGAATCTCACTTTGCCCCATAAATCTAACGATGCCCAAGATTTATCATTGTGCCCCAATTTTAAAATAAAGTCAGTTGCAATGAAGTTCAGTACACATCTTACTGTATTGCACTTTTGAGAATTTTCGGCACCCTTGACCTATACCTCTAAAGTGGCCCCCACCGGTCAACCACTTGACCGATCAAGTCCATCTTTGAATTTGATTCCTAACTTTGCATGTTCTAAGTGTGTGCCAAATTTCAAGTCGATCGGATAAGTTTGAAGAGACTTACCGAAATACGGATAGACAAACAGAAGGACGGGTACATAAGCCCTGGGTCGGGCTAAAAAGATATATTAAAATATAATTTTGAAAAAATCCTCTCGGAGTTTTGACGCCACTTATAATTCAGCGGCTCGCCGATTTACCCGTGGCGGCGGCGGCGTCTCATTTCTGGGCGGCGTCGGCGGCGGCGGCGCAACCATATCGGCGGCTGGGAGCTCTAAGTTAAAGGAAGTAGATCGACTGGAGAGAATACCAACAGTGTCAGTGAAATTTTAAAAAAATAAGTTCCCAAAATTCTGCCAAACTAATTGGTTTTGTGTATGTGTAATTTATTCTGTTTGAATAATAAAAAAGCGTTAGTTTCTTGGATCCCAAATAGGTAAGGTACTTTTTGAAATTTTGCATGTTAGTTCCAAATACAAAACAAATTAATAATAAGAAGTCACCTTAATTTTTGACCTTAATATGCGTCAGCCCCACAAAAAAAGTTATATATTCGAGATCAACATGAAAAACTGAACAATTTGGTATATCAAATTTCAAAATTTGAGAGGGGACCTTCATCGCTATTTAAACCATTTAGAAAATAAATAAATAAAATTTTAAACGCCGCCGCCGTAGTTTGGTCGGCGCACGCCGGCGCGCCGCCGCCGCCGGTGTTGTGCCAAAAGTAAGCCGCCGCCGCCGAAAATATGTCGGCTGGGAGCTCTACTTTAACTGACAAAAAAGACTAGTTGACTGCATCAAGTCATACAAAGGTGGAAAGATAAAAAAGGTTGGAAAGAACCTTTTTTATGTTTTTTATCTATTTCTGGGAAATAGATAAATATAATTCAATCTAACAAATGAACCTTTGTATATGATGTACATATATCATCCTTCTTGTGTGGTGGAATTATGCGTTTTGTGAGGTGGGCTGCAAATAATAAGGGCTGCAAATAATCGCGGGCTGCAGTTAATAGGCTGCAAATTGGTGGGCTGCAGATAATCAAGGGGGCAGAAAATGGGCTGCAAATCCATCGGGCTGCACTTGAGGGGCGGCAGATTTCCGCAAATCTCGTTCACTTTTGACTTTTCTGCGGAGTAAAGGATATTTCCCTCCTTCCTCGTTTATAATAATAATTTTAACATTAACTGCGTGCAGTCAGACTAACAAGTTACATAAAAAAATTCGATTTTTTGTCCGAGTTAGAATTTATGCATGTACGTACTCGCTTTGCCAATAATTCTTGTAAATCTTATCCTATCGACTTATTATTAGTAATGATAATTATAATAATATTCCCACAATTAATATTATTAATATAAATAATAATATTGTAACAATAATAATATTATAACACTACTAATGCAATACAGATTTTCTTGGGTAACGTGCAGATCATAAAAGTGTTGTAGATAATGACATTTTGTTAGCAGATCTTTTATAGCAGCGCACACACCACTAACTCTGCGAAGAACCGACCGCATACAGCGGTTGTCGATTGCCCGTGGATTTTGGTAGGAGGTAATTTGCACCACTGGAATTAAAGTATAAAATCTTAAAATTTTGAAGACTCAGTACAATATTTTAAACAACTCTACTCAACATATCAAACAAGCAATGTAACTCAGTAAAATGTATTAAACCCATTACCTTCTGCGACTCATACTTTCCCATCAAGTTCCTTGAATTTCGAACAAACGCTCAATACCCGACGGCGGAGTGGCCGCATCGGTCATGGATTTGCTTCACGTACGGTAGAGGGGTCATGCAGGCTACTCTTGAGGGTTGCATCATAAGGTCATCGTAGTCCTCCTCGACTGGGGCGGTTTGCACTGTGGAGAATTAGAGGAAATGTTAAATTTCATCAGGAACATTCTGACTTTATCATTGAAAGATTTTTTATTTTAAATGACTATTGTTATCTGCGAATTAGGTATAAATGTCCACTGTTGTAACTAGTTACACAAAAATTTCAAAATTTAGCAAATTACTGAAAAATTATATATTTAGTTAGATGATTAACCTACATTTGTTACATTTCGTACAACTTGCGATGCGCTCCGATGTTACAACGATAATTATATAGCATTAGATCATAAGTTTTACTACGGTCTTTAGGAGCACAAGAAGCTATAAAAACTGATGCTTAACACTAATATCACAATAAAGATTTTCTAGAGTCGGGTTAAGGTCAAAAAGTGTTATAGATATTGAAATTTTGTAAATAAATCTTTAATAGCAGAGCACACACCAGCAAGTCTGTGGTGAAGCGAACGCATGCAGCGGTTGTCAATCGTTTTAGAAGACTTCCGTGGATTCTGGCAGGAGGTAATTTACACAACTCAAATTAAAATATGAAATCTTATAAAATATATAATGCTACTATATGTATCAAGCAAGAAATGTTATTCAGAACAATATATTACACCAATTACCTTTTGCGATTCGTACTTTCTCTTTCGAGAAAGTCTTCAAGGCCCGACGGCGGAGTCACCCCATGCAGCGGTCATCAATTTGTTTCACATACTGTAGAAGGGTCATACAGCCAGCTGAAGAGGGTGACATCAGTAGGTCATTGTAGTCTTCCTCGAGTGGGGCGGTTTGCACTGTCCGAAATAAGAAAAAACCGTTCAAATGAAATGTTAAAAAGTCATCTTAACAACAATAGCCCCCGCTGGAAGTCTAAGACCTGGGTCAATCTAAAATGTTTGCAGGTTTACGTCATGAAATGATTCCGCAGAAAGTTTAATAATTTTGGGAATATATCCATGGAACGAACAAAGCAATTTACATTTGCTCCGTGATAAAGCTTGATAATTACAAAATTGCTACGTCACAAGTTACCGTTGCATATGTTTACGGGATTTTGCATAATACAAAGTTTAAACGAAATTATGATGGAATCCGTAAGTGAGGTTTTGCATTTTTACAGGGAAACGTTTCTCCCGAGGGAGAAACTACAATTTCTTGCTCACAGATTCCATCATAATTTCGTTTAAACTCCACAGTATGAAAATCCTGCAACATGTGTTTAAGTATTTATATAATGCTACATAATAATGATCATGGTTTCGTCGGAGCGATACCGCTGGCGTCTGCATTGTTAGTCAAATCAAATGCGTTTTGTAAAAGTTTGCAAATTTATTTTACAAACCTTACTTACATATTTTACAAGTTGCTCTACGTGAATTGCCTCAATGACAAAACATCTCTAAAGTAAAATATGCGTGGCTCGGTTAGGTTTCCTCGTTGGCATCATGTGGAACCGAATTTTAGAGAACCTTTTAGTCCTTATTTTTCTCACGTGTACTCAGCTCATTTCAACAGGTAAATATTTGTCTTAAGATAAGAGTAGTATAGATTTTTGTAACTACAATTTTTCTGTTGTATTTAAATATGCTAGGAGTTTACTTTCCTCTGGAAATGGCAGTTTGGTTTCATCGTCAATTTCTCAAGGTACTTCCTGTGACATTCATGATCCAGGCCATGAGATCAATTTGTACGAGAGGATGGGGAATTAAGCATCCAGTCGTGATGCTCGGATTTGCATCAGCATGTTTCTGGATATCCATTTCCTTGCTTGTTGCTGTGCTAGCAGGAAGAAGGAAATATATGTAAATTATAAATTCTAAAAGATGAAACATCGATTGCTGAGACAAATTCTTTAGGCGAACCTCTAAACAAAATATGTAGATATGTATTTGTAACTATGAAATGAAATAGACATCGAATAGATATAGAGAATTATTGGCATGCAAAAGATGCATGTTTAACTGATATTGTTTTCGATAATAAATAAAAATTCGCAATTTTTAAAGAGGCAATTCGAATTGTGCAAATTTAATTAATCGCCACACCTATCAGGCTTATTTACTGTTATGTATGCACATTATGTGTAGCGCATAAGCACTCAATTCATTGTCAAAGGTTTTTATTGCACAACACGCCTCACCTCAAACGCTTTATAAAACTACCCGGGAATTATGCATACCAAAATTTACATGCTTAATGCAGTGTTTCAAATTACGAGAAACTTCAATCTTCATAGGTACATATTCAAGTAATTCAAAGTCACTGTCAATCCACGGTCATCCAATTAATGTCCTAATGCATAAATAAAGCCTTATAAAATTTTAAACTCTGAATCCATCCATGCGTAGGCCCGATCCAATTATGGCTAATTGTTTCCACTACAGAAAACTTCCTCCATGTAGTTAGACAAAAATTGACATAACTGTAAAATCGCTAGTTAAAAACTTATATCTACCAACTTAATTTTTTAAATATGGAAAACAATTTTCACATATCTATCTCCCCCACAAAATTATTTATTGTAAAATCTCACGAATTCGAACAGACCAACTTCGTAAAACGTAAACATTTTAAACACTCGAAATGCAGAGACAAAATTATCACAAACCAATCCCTCAACCTGTTCAAAATATTCTTCAGTTTTGGCCATCATTTGGGACTATTTCCCTTCAGATTTTGCTATGTAGAGGGTGACGTAGAAAATAATTTGAGACAAATTGTACAAATGCAGTCGAACAAGTTTCAAAAGGTAAATATTTTTAATTATGCATTCATATTTAACTAGTAAATTCAGAATTTGCCTATACACATTTGAATTTATGTATGTAAATTTGTCCAGATATTTTGTGCAATTGCCCACATCCTGATGATATTTCAATACTTGTCTGAAGCACGGGAAGCCGGAATAAAAGTATTTTCGAAACAAAGTACGACAACACATCCTGGAAAATATTTTGAACTTCTGTCTCACATGGCGTCAATCTCGTACAAATTAGTATTTGTTAAAGTATTGTGGGCCAATGTGGAGAAATTTTGCAAAATTGTGAATTTTCTCCAAGAATCGAACAGTCTTGCTGTATTCCAATATAGAAATAAGGTGAGTTAGTAGCGTATTACATTCGTCCTTCGCGGTACTTTGAAAATTTCATGCAAAATTTTACAAAATTCAAAATCCATATTTTTAAAAATTTCGTATTTTACTTGAATATGTCAGTACTGCTCGAGCGTCACGATGTACATAATTTGCTTCGTGTACATAATCAACGCCATCACATTCATCATTCTTGGATTTGCGAAAAGGGACAATTTCTCAGCTGCCAGAGTTACCCTAAAATACTTGGGAATTGCACGGTTCAATTTTTTTATGGCGTCGAGTTCCGACAGCTTGCCAAGTTTCCAAGACGTCACCAATGTTGACATCTTTTTGGGCGTTGTTACCTTCTTCTCAGTCAGTTTTCGTCAGTTGATGGGGTTTTTT